GTAACTAGGGGGTGTCTGCCCACTGACTGGCCACCAAGAGGGGCATGGTAGGCCGCAATAGCCGCCACGTAGACCTTCAGGGTGGAGTGGGTTAACCCTGCGGAGAAACGGGCCTGCACGAACTCCAGCACTGTACCAACCGGGCAGTTAACTGGGTTGAGCTGGCAGTCTCCACACCAAGAAGTGAAAAGTTTCCACTTCAAGGCGGACAGTTTCCTCGTGGAGAGAGCTCTGGATTGGAGGATGGTCTCAACAACCTCGGTTGGGAGACCGGAAGCTACGAGGTGTGCCCCCTCAGGGGCCACACCTCAGATCATATGCGATTCCCACGAACTCAGTCGCCGCCGTGCCTCAGGGGCACAGACACACTCCTCGGAACCCCAATCAGACTGACACACACACAGAGGGCTTGCTGAATGACAAAAGCTGACGCTGGTCTCACCGCACGTGCTTTTATAGCTTCCTGGTCATTACGTCACCCGCCGTGACGTCTCGCCCATCTATTGGTCTGATTACACACGAGGTTCAGAGCCCGTCACGCTGAAGAGCATTCCCCTAGCGTTTCCGACGCAGCTCGAGTTCCTGAAGAGGAACAATTTTTTTATATATGCATAGCGTATTTTAACCATGCAGCAAACCTTTTTAAATATTTTGATAAATTACTGAAAACAATTAATAAATTACTTTTTAAACCATTTAACTGACTGTATTAATCGATCAAAAATTATTACGGTTGGTTAACAGTTAACCGGTTAAAATGAACATCCCTAGTCGGGCTCTAGTTATAAATGTACACTATTTTTTATGAAACTATAAAAAATACATTGAAAAAGCTTGAATTATTCTGGAAATGCACCACAGTCTGTGAAACAGGTGACAATGGTTGTCAAAAAATAATGAATGCAGAACAGCCAATTCTTTTTTCTTTTCATGATTTTATCCATGACTGGAAATCACAATTTTAAAATTCCCTCAAATGCGTGTGGGGCCCCTGATGGACTGATGAGGGTGTGTGTGAGTTGGGTCACCTGTAGAGAGGTGATTCTGTCGTAGTGAAGTGTGGTCATCTCTTTCTGCGTGAGTGCATTTCCTGTCTGATCACTGATCTCAAAGCCAGTGTAGAACTTCAACATGTCCAGGAGCTGAACACAATAACAACAACACCAATGTCAAGTGAAAAATTAACACAAATGTTAAATTATCAAGACAGAAAATTGTTGAAGCACAACATTATTTTTAAACAGAAACATTATCAAATCAATATCAGCAGACAAGTATGACTTTTAAAAAAATTGTTATCAAACTGATCAGTACAATAAGCTGATATACAGGTGCATCTCAATAAATTAGAATGTCATGGAAAAGTTCATTTATTTCAGTAATTCAACTCAAATTGTGAAACTTGTGTATTAAATAAATTCAATGCACACAGACTGAAGTAGTTTAAGTCTTTGGTTCTTTTAATTGTGATGATTTGGGCTCACATTTAAGAAAAACCCACCATACTCGTTTCACAATTTGAGTTGAATTACTGAAATAAATGAACTTTTCCACGACATTCTAATTTATTGAGACGCACCTGTATTTAGGCCGTCTAATTATAGCCAAATGACTATTATTTCTAGTCAGCATACCCATTTTTAAATACAAACTAAATAATTTTTTTTTATCCATGGCACACAACCATATTGATTTTATTTATGATCGAAAATTAGAAAGTTTCACACTAAAAGCATGATTTGCTGATGTGCTTTTCTCGTGATTTAATGTGATTGAAAAACATTAAAAATCCAGGTGTGCTGTGCTTGTTTACAGGGCTAAATGTTTTGATAATATATCAATATATCTATAAAATATAAAATAATATCTATAAAATTAAAATAATAATTACTATTATTATTATTAAATGAAAACATAAAAAAACTAAATAAACATCATTGGTATACTTCACTGTAAAAAAAAAATTAGTATCTAAGAAAAATAATAATTTTATTTTACGTTACAACTATAAAATTGCAATACGAATGAATATTAGTCTTAATTTCTTCTTTTTCAAAAATTAAACCAGCAAACTTTTTTTTTTAATGGAAAACCGCAGAAAGCTCTTAAAGCTTCTCTTTTGTTGACGAGCGCTTCTCATTACAAGCCTGGCAAGATGTTTGGTTTGGTGATTTAGTTCCCAAAAGCATGACTCAGTCTGAGAGCAGATGCAGGTGGAGTTCATGTGGAGCAGCACTTACTGTGAACCGAGACACTCGGAGACACCGGTGGATCATGAGCTGCTCACGCGTAAATGAACACCGTAAATAAACCAGAGCCCTCGTGATTTGATAATCACACTAAGCCATACTGCAATTTCAGTTGTATATCAATTAATCACGCAGCTCTAGTGGCCATGCATTATCAATTAACATTCTCAGTTATTGATAAAGCACAACTGCTAAACCGCGGTAAAACCTGTGTTAATAATAATAATAATAATTTTAAAAAATCTCATGCAGAAGTGCAATTCTTTATAACAATATAATTTAATATGATATTTAATATAGCTAATATGAAAAAATAAAAAAAAAATGCTCATGAATTCCCTTTTTGAGGTAAATTATTTATTAGGCTTATAATATAATATTAATATTTTCATAAAACATGAACATGTGAATTCTTATATAGTTATGCAAGTAGAGTTTAGAGTAGTAGAGTTTGCACACTACTACACCTGTGTGCGACTGTAAATGTTTTGTTACCATTCTGTGCTCACTTTGGGGGGGGGGGGGGGGGATTATAGAAATTAATACTTTTATTTAGCAAGGATGCTTTAAATTGATCAAAAGATCAAGACATTTATAATGTTACAAAATATTTATATTTCAGATAAATGCTGTTCTTCTGAACTTTCTATTTATCAAAGAAACCTAAAAAAATATATACTAGTAATAATAATAATAATGATAATAAATGTTTCTTGAGCAGCAAATCAGAATTTCACAATATTACTGATTTTGCTGGATTTCGGATCAAATAAATGCAGCCTTGGTGAGCAAAATTTAAAAAAAATATATGTTTTTTAATTTAAAACAATTACTATGTATATGTATATTTATGTGCGTATATAACTACCTCCACAAACATACACATCCATTTTTATAAACACATATATATATATATATATATATATATATATATAAAGTGGAATAGCATCATTCTATTTAATGCTTCAAATGCTGTTTGAATGCTGTTTCACTCAACAACAAAAAAAACAAGGTCAAAAAAATTTTCTAAATGAAACACGCACAGATTAATTGTTCATTGTAAGATCTATAACATGCATTTAGTGAACAGACGGTGAATTTTAATTTCATGCTGACTTTATCATAATGAGAAACAAAAAAATCAGCAGAAGATGCTGGAATGGCAGCTCACCTCCAGGTCAATCGTGAATCTCTCACAGTAGTGAACCTTCTCCATGGAGACGGAGCCTAGAGCAACATGAACCACAAAACACACATTAAAGCAGTGATGACACCTCATTTCACACATGACATTCTGGGGTGGATGGAGGAAAAGCAGTGGAGAGAGAGTGACAGTATTATGATGGTCTCATAAACAGCATGCGCTGGCCTCTTCATGTCACACCATCTCCGGCCTGAACAGGTGGATGATGGGAGGAGGGCACGTCGGTCTGCGTTAGCGGAGCGGTGAGAGGCGCCCGCGGGCGAGCAGCAGCTGCTCTGAAGCTGGGTCATGTCACAGGATGGTGAAAACACGGAGAGATTTTCAAAGATAAAATAAATCACTGCCCGAGGGGCGGCAGGAAGACTGAGTATGAGTATGGGTAACAGAAATCAGCCACATCTTAACTTGTAGCGCAAATGTAGGCAAGTATTTAACAACTAAAAGCTCTTTTAGTGTAACTGTACAAACGTCCAGCTTCAGCTCGAGCTTCTCGTGTCAAATCTTGACTGGTTTTGATCAAGTAAAGGTCAGAATAACTGCAGTCATATCTCCAGATGAACACTTGCTGGACTGAAGCAGCTCAGCTTTAATTGATTCTCCATCAATCATGTTTTAGAGTCTCAAATCTGATCCTCAGGATCTTTTGAGGAGCGTTTATTTCTTCATCTCTCAATCATCACTGGATTGCATTGCATTATATGTTTGGATCATTTCCATCTCATCTCACTGAGACAGATTACTGGAGATATAGAGTGACCGCTGATATTTATATCATTTTATGTCAGTATCTGCTGCACTGTTATAAAAACCTCAAACCAAACCCAATGTGCACAGAGTAAGGTATAAACACAATCAATGATATATTACTCCAAAAATAATATCAGTCAAAACGCTGGTGTGAATAAACTGGGAAACAAACCTAATATCCCATTAGCTACACTAAATTCAAAGACTTTGGAGACAATGTTTTTTTGTTTCAGTGTTGCTGTCATCACTGGGCAGTATGATCACTGCATTCAGCCACTATGCAGTTAAAATCGAGCAGCGCCCCTGTGCTCCCACTACTTGTCTTGTTTTCTGCATGTGAAAAACACATTGCATTTATTTCCTGTGACTGAAAATTTACACACAAACACAGAAAAAAATCCGAGGGTGAAACTGCATGGAAATCCTCTCACAGCATCTGTACTTTCAGTCTAGAAAGCATTAATCAGCTCATGACTTCACTCTGTTAGCTGTTGCTGTTTGATGTTTTTTGACCACAGCATGATTGCATTTACTCAGGGACATCATGATGCTCATTTCTATTGCTACTCAAACCGATAGTCATCATCCACAGCACACGCGTAAGCAGAAATGTACATGATTAGCATACAAATGAAAATCTCATCAACAATGCAAATGGGCCATCTGCTTCTGGGTGGGGAGACGCCATGCCTTAAATTAGCCACAACCCAAAACTAGAAGAAAACAGCTTTGGATTGAAACGGTCATTATACACATGAACCCTTGAGCTGCTATTTGGTTTCATTTCTGAAGTGTTTTGCACAGTGTGTTTTGAGCGCAGGAAAAAAAACAACAACATGTATTCCAGTCTGCTTGCTCTGTGCAAGGCAACAGTGCCACTGAGTGGTGTGCCCAGAAAACAACAGGTCATGTAGTAAAAGAGGGGCCGAAATCAACAGATGCAAATATAGGAGGTTATTAACAATTGCTAATGATTGGAAACTAACCAGACTGTTGAAGCAGTGATCGAGGAAGAGCAGAAGCACTGTTTGCTCCTTCAGCGACAGGCCGAGCTGCTCGCCGGACAGACACGACTCCATCACACACTTGAAGAAGTGAGGGAAGTGTGTGGGCGCACGCTTAAAAACCTGAAGAGACAGAAACTGTGTCACTCACATCGTAACACACATCTAATGATATCTACCTGCGCCTTTATTACATCTGCAATTTATGCAACAACAAAAAAACAGCAGCTGTGATTGCCAGAACAATAGCATAAAAATATAGTAGCAACAATTTAAGTATAATTAACTGAAAATATATACCATATTTGCCAAATTACCTACCTACGTACCTTTATAATACACAACCACCTTAAAAAATAACATGATGAATCAAAGTTCATCACAATTCGCTTTTTTTAATCACAGACTGATGTAAATACTAATATATAGAAGATCACATTGTCATTCACACAAATACTAAACAGCATCATGGCAACACACTAAAATAACACAAATATTCATTTAACAACATAAGATGAAACATAAAACCCTAACGTACATCATAACATAAGAAAATAAAATGAAAAACCATCAAATATGAAGTGTCACACATAATGTCAATTATGGGTTTTCCCTCTTTGATCTTTTTCCGCTGTACATGTAACACAATATTTTACTGTAAAATTACAAGAAATTCCTGTTAGATTACAATGGTAACACTTTATTTTAAGGACCAATTCTCACTATTAACTAGTTGCTTATTACCATGCACATTACTAGCATATGGGCTGTTTTAAAAAGCACATATTAATGTCTTATTCTGCATATTTTAGATTCCTTTATCTCCTAAACTCAACAACTACTTTACTTACTATTAATAAGCAGCAAATTAGGAGTTTGAGGCAAAAGTGGTAGTTAATAGTGAGAATTGGTCCCCAAACTAAAGTGTGACTATTACTATTAACAGCTTTTTACTCTAGCATTTTTACAGGATTTCACAATCAAATTTGAAAGTAGTGTTCATGTTGATCAAACTGCTATAGTGGATCAATAAAAACCAATAATCCAGCCAGAGTTCAATAGGATTCCCACATCTATCGCCGAAGAAACGGTCACTCAACACCAGTAGCGCGAGTTACGTAATCAGATTACATTTTCAAATAACTAGTAAAGTAACGCATTACTTTTTAATTTACAAGAGAATATCTGAGTTACTTTTTCAGATAAGTAACGCAAGTTACTTTTTTATTCCAGTTTATTGACTGACAGCTCTGCTGTCCCCGTGTTGAGAGAAATCAGATGTTACTGTAGTTCTAAAATAAATATGAATATGCATTAATTCATCTCACTCACACAAAACAAACAAACACAGATTCAGTATTCCTCAAAATGAATAAAAATAATGCAACTCAGAATATGACACAAGCCTGCAATAATTAAATGTTAAAACACAAATATGCTTTATGTATTTAATCCCATTCTATTAACCAATGTCTTTGCTTCTGATCCAGTTCAAGCGTACTAATAAGCCCAAATTACTCTAGACAAACATTTGCGTGTCTTTGTTTATTGCTGAAGTGTGTTGAAATGTCTTCTTCTGCATTCTACTGTATGGATGTAAATGCACTTTCCCTTCAGCCTGAGGCGCATTCATTTCTGTGAAAGGCTTTTATATTTGCCAAAAATAGAACTTTTTTATTTTAAAAACATTTCCATAAAAAGTAACGTAATTAGTTACTTTTTTATAGTAACGCAGTTAGTGTTGAAGCAGCATGTCAGGGAGACGCTGTGTGTTTCTAGGCGAAAGCAAAAGCACTTTATTTGGTCTTCCGGAAGTAGATGCATTTAGGAATCTTTAAGATCACTTACAACAGAACAGCAATGCATTTTATGGACGACCGTTTCGTGAACCTAGGAGAGGAGGGCCTTCTGACTTTGCTATGACAAGCTGGCGCTTCTGAATCAGCTACTGTTTTGTTATTAGTTTAAGTATTTGCTATTGACTGTTCAAATGTGGAGTTTTGTGCATCGTGTGTGTGTGACTAAGAGTGTGTGTGTGTGTGTGTGCTGAGAGAGGCGGGGCATAGAGGACCTACAATAATGTACAGTATTTGAAAAATAATGTGTTTTTTGAACATTAAAGCATGTCAACATATTCTGTTACACCAAATACACAAAATAATGATCTTTAAAAAAAGCATCATATGACCCCTTTAAGCGATTCATTCTGAAACAGTGAAGCTTTTGTGTTCTGCTCGAACATCGCAGTGTCATAGGACTGTGTGAAATCAAAAATGGACACATTATTATTCGTGTGGTGCACAATTAATCCCTACTACAAGTGAATCCACTTGTCTCTCTGACATAATAATTTGCAATTTAATCCACTTTGCATTAAGAAGATTATTCAAAATGATTTAAGAATCTCCTCTCTTGTTTTTATTTTTATAGGTTACTTATACTTTCTATATACTCTTTAGTACAGTAGTATTTTTTTATTTACTTTCACTCGTTTTTTTTCCTGTGTATTTTAAATTTCCGCCAGTGAAAACAATGATTTTTGTATGCAGAGTAAAAATACACCGAGTAACTCAATATTAACTAATGGTGTTTTGAACTGTTTTATAAAAGCAATATCACACTCACAATCATGCTGTTGGTCTGAATAACCACTGGAATCTATATCATTTATTGTAGATCAGTCGGAATAACTCACTCAAAGTTGGCAATGCTGCTACAAAGTGAAGCATTACACCTCAAGTGTGCATACGTTTTCAGCAATGCTTGTTCCATGGTTCCATTTTCACTTAAAATGTGGTATTAAGGTGCAACAAAAATAGCCTTTATAAATAACTTATAATTCATGAATTACACAATTGTTCTTCCATCATATGTTTCCCATTTATATTCAACTATATTAATGTTAACCAAGTAAAAAGGAAGTCACATTCATGATTCATCCTCTAGTCTTCTTATGGTTTAATATGTACATAAACCTATGTATAGACTTCCAAAAATGGATATTTAAGCTATATTTAAGGAGGTGATCTAATAAATAATGATACATATTCTGTGTAGTCAAGAGTTCAACAAGACACACATTGGTCTGCCGAGGTAAAATAACTGTACCCTCTATCTTCAGGAGCTGGTATTGACAGGATTTATCCACTCCTTACAGATCATTTTCATCAGAGTGATGTTTGATAATCATCTAATTTATACTCTCATTGACTCTAGGACAAACCACTGAGGCAGAAAATCAGTAAAGTCATCCATGCACCATGCTTTACCGTTAGGATGAGGCTCTTTTGGTTTTTCCACTGTTTCATTAGTCCAGGGCTCATGAGGATGGGATACTTATTCTTTCACAGATTTTCAGTCTAATTTTAGACATAATCGAGTGATAAATGTAGTGGTGTAGTCACTGATTTTAATCTGTAATTATGATTTATACCAATCTTTTATACATTTATCATTCAAATTAGAAGGCATTTTTAATGTGAAGCCACCGCGCCAATAGTGGGCAATGTGTTAAAGAAAATACCACTAAATTTCACAAATTGGATGTAGGGACTGGGAATAGGCCAATTACTGGCTTTGTTTTATCAGGTTTAGATGGACTAACGGCATACCTCTTTTTTCCCCTAAATAGCTGGCTTTGCATATTGTCACAGGGACCAAAAATGCATTAGAGAAACCTCTAGTTTTTAATAGTTTAGAGTATAAGACGAGAGAATCATAATTCAAGGTTTTCATTCAAAGGCATTTTGAAATTCCATGCAGATGACAAAGCTTGAATTAGTCATCTTTCTAAACCGATTACCTGGAATGGGATATATTTGGATTTAATCTTTGCAACTATTCAGGGCACCAATACCTATGTTGGTGCAATCTATAACCTAACCACTGCGATTTGGGTTTAGGGTCCAAAAGAGAGAGTGTTTCCATGATTGCTTCAAAACTACTGACTCACATGTACAGTCTCCAGGAGGATTCAGCCATTTCACATTTAGATAATCTCTTCTTCAGCCATAATCTAGGATCTTCTATTAGCAAAATACCTGCAGTTTGCCATTCTTTCATTACACTGAAACCAAACATTTTAAGGGATGAACTAAAGAACATTTAAATCAACACAGCATTGGCATATTTTATATTTGTTCATTCCTCGACCTAAAACACACCAGCAGAAGCACACAGTGTGTAATCATTAAATAGGTTTCCAAGTACATGTAGTTTCCTTCACTCTTTTGTAACAAGTTTCTGTAATTGCTAAAATTCCCATTAACATGCCACATGCACCTAGTAACCATTGGGTCACCAGTCCGTTTGCGGTATCTCAGAGTTGTCGGCTGAGCTTCTGGGCTTGCCTCTCCTTTGCGTCAAAAGCGTACTTGGTGTCCTGCAACTGCTCGATGATTTCTTTAGCCTCCTTCATGTCCTGGGCCAGCTGGTTGTACTTCTCAGCGAGCTCCTGGTTCTCCCTGCGGAGCTCAACTACCAGCTGGCTCAGCTCCTCGCTCTGCCGGCCACAGTGCAGCTTCAGCTGCTCCATCTCCACGAGGGTCACCTCCATGCGCTTCACCAGGCCTTCCAATTTTTCCTTCGACATGGTTTCTAGTGGAAGGTATTGGTCTGGGTTGCAGTGTAGGAGTGGCAGATAAGAGAGTGGCTGTGTCCTCGGTGCCTGCGGTGTGACTCAGTGTCCCAACTAATTACTAATGGCCTAATCCTTGAGCGCTGGCTTTTCTTGCATGTCATAGGACACTCCCTCACACCTCTAGTAATCCCCTTAGAGGAGCTATCCTTAGCCACATCTCCTGCAGTCTCGATGGTCTAGATGCTCAAGACACACCTCCAGAGATTACAGCCTAATGCGAGGCAGTCGTGGCCTAATGGTTAGAGAGTCAGATTTGTAACCCAAAGGTCATGGGTTCGAGTCTGAGGTCCAGCAGGGATTGTCGGTGGGGGGAGTCATTTACCAGTGCTCTCTCCACCCTCAATACCATGACTGAGGTGACACCCTTGAGTAAGGCACCGAATCCACAAATGTGTGTGTTCCGGGTGTGTGTTTGTTCTGTGTGTGCGCACTTGGATGGGTTAAATGCAGAGCACAAATTACACCATACTTGGCCACACGTCACGTCCTTTCCTTTCTGTCCTTTCCTTGCATGACCTCAGTAAGCCAACTTAATACAGCTCTGGGAATGGAATGGACTTGGGGGGGAAAAAACAAGCTAACAAAAAAAGGAGTAACCAAATTTAGCCCTGCTTCTTCACAAAGACACAAATTAGTTTTAAAAACCAGAGCACAAATTCCAAGTATGGGACACCATACTTGGCCACACATCACATCCTTTCCTTGCATGGCCTTAAGTAAGCAAACTTAATACAGCTCTGGGAATTGAATGGACTTGGGGGAAAAAACAAGCCAGAAAAAAAAGGAGTAACCAAATTTAGCCCTGCTTCTTCACACTGACACAAATGAGTTTTATAACCCAACCCGAATCGAACCCAACTTCACATAAGGTATTCTGGCCAAATTATTTATTGGCCCAACTCAAAAGAATAACCCAAATCTCTGTGATGTTCTGCCATCTTATTTTATTTGCTTGCAACAGTTTACACTGCATTCAAGGCATGCCGTACATCTTAATGGGAATCAAACCCTGTTGCTAAAATAATGCGCGACTGCACGGATGTGCAACTCTGGTTCTGGACGGCCACTATCCTGCAGAGTTTAGCTCCATATCTAATCAAACACACTTGAAAAATCTAATCTAAGTCTTCAAGATTTATTAAAAATAACAGACAGGTGTGTTTGATTAGGAATGGAACAAAACAGTCCAGAACATCAGTCCTGAAGTTGCCCATCCCTGTAACCACTGTTTGACCTATAGCAGGGGTGTCCAATCCCATTCCTTAAGGACCACCTTCCAGCAGAATTTGGCTTCTGCCCCAATTAAACACACCTGAAACACCTAATCAAGGACTTCAGGTTCAGAAACTTCCACACAGGTGTGCTAGAGCTAAACTCTGCAAGAAAGTGACCTTTTGGGAGCAGGATTGGATACCCCTGACCTAAAGCAGTGGTTCTCAAACATGTCCTGGAGGACCCCCAGCCCTGCACATTTTGTATGTCTCCCTCATCTATCACACCTGATTCAACTCATCAGCTCATTAGTGGAGACTGCAAGACCTGAAGTGGGTGTGTCGGATATAGGGAGACATACAAAAAGTGCAGTGCTGGGGGTACTTCATGGAAAGGTTTGAGAACCCCTGACCTAAAGGAACATATGGCAGGGGTGGCCAATGTCGGTCCTGGAGAGCCACAGTCCTGCAGAGTTCAGCTCCAACCTTAATCAAACACACCTGATCAAGCTAATCAAGGTCTAATGGTGCGTTCAAGTCATGTCGGATAGATCGTATTAACGAGTTGAATGCACATGAACGCCACCACAAAGTCATTATTACGAGTGGGAAACTCTAAATTTTCTTTAAGCCCCGAGTTTCCGAGTTGGGGGCGTGTCAATGAGAAACATGGCGGAATCGATGGATGCAACGTCTGTAGTTGATGGTAAATTTGTTTAAATTGATAGTTTAGTTGTCCTATAAACTTAAATTGGTCATATTCTTGTTACGCAGCTAGTTAATGAAATCCATGCTATAATTTTTGCAACTATAGGTGAAAAATCTTTTGATTTGCCATGTTGCATTTAGCTAACAGCTTTTTTTAATCTCTGTATTTTAGCGTTTATTAATGCTGAAAATCAGTTATACTAGGATCCTGGTCTAAAAAAATATATTAAAAACGCAAAACACACCTGATGCGAATTCTTTGCTCTTCATTTTCTATAAGCAGAGTTAACAGACCCTGTTGTATTTTCTTGTAATTTATTAAAAGAAGGTACACCGCCATCTTGTGCCGACTAAACTGACTTGAACGCA